ATTTATTGCAATTTATTGCAAATGGTGGGGCATTTGACCAATATTTATTGCCCGACGGTGGGGCATTTGATTGAAAATTTGCTCAAAAAATCAAATGCTCCACCTATGCCCTCCCCCCTCCCCCCTCTGGGGCTTGACATTGATAGGTGCATTACTCTCTGTCGCTTAAACTGTCCCACTTTTATGAAAACACGTAGAAATTTTATATTGCCATATCTGCAGTATACAAATATAAAAATATTAAATAAGTTTACAAACCTTGTTTCGTTCATATTTCTACGGAAGAGGTGCATATTTCTACGGAAGAGGTGCATATTTCCACGGAAAAGGTGTATATTTCTACGGAAGATGATCAAAATTATACAGACGAGTTTAATTTCTAAGGAATACCACTTCATTTGTACAGAACGAGTGTCATTTTCTACGGAAGAACTGTGTCCCTAACGGGCCACCGTACATATCAGTGCGGTGTAAGGTCAGGACCTTTAGAGTCGAAAACAATAGTGCTCTGTATGTAAATATATATTTTGGCTGTTTCAAACATTCATAGTCGTAAAAATTTGAATAAACACAAGTTTGCCTGAGAATACTCGGCAAAATATTACCTTAGCCGAAAACTTTAAAGAGGTGGATGTATTTTTGTATAAAATTTACAAATGCCTATTAATTTAAATGTATGTGATATATCTACGAGCTTTATAGATTAGGGACCAGTCATTATTAATGCCGGGTAGGGGGCCGGAGGAAATTGAGAGGGGCCACAAAAAATTTTTGACCAGTGAAGGGGGAGCCAGAAAATATTTTGAACATCAAGGGGGGGGGCAGCAAAAAATAAAATCTATGGAATAGTTTGGAACATGTAATATGATAATATCAAAAGAGTATTGGATATATACAGTAATCAGTATACATACATACATTGAACAGTTTACAGTTATGCCCAATATATTGAACCTAAAAGTTGTGTTCTAGCTACTGTATATGGAAATTGTCATCCTCATCATCACCATAGAATTTGTCTGAAGGGTCATGCACTGCATTTGCAAATGCAAGATTCAATTGACAGTTGTTGTCCTGTTTTAAGCTTTTTAACACAGTCTACCTCTTTGGCATGTTCTGTTTCTGCATGCTGTTGTCTGCATTTTTTTCAATTAGTAAAAGTAGGCCTGATGTGTTGGTTTTTTGTTTGAGGGCCAACAACTTTTCAGCTATAGTCTAGAACCTGTATATGAGTTTGTATGCGTTTCATTTAGCACAGGTAATCTAAACTGTTTTAGGGTAAAATGACCATGGCGGTCAACATGGCATATGTGCCAAAAGCTGAATCCGGGACGAAAGTCCTGAAATGACCCCGCCCTGAAACGGCAGTGTCGACATAGCTCTAACTTCAGAAAACAAAAAGCGATAGTCTTTCTGAAGTGCTTATAGTGTTTAGAAGGGTTGCTTTAGGGTGGTCATTGGAAGAAAAAATTTGTCTAAGTATAATATTTTACAAGAAAATGACCATGCACCACCCCAGGTAAATTGCTAATTATGCATAAAATAACTAATATGCCTGGCAGAGATTAAATATTCTTATTTCTTGAAAAAAATTATCATGGGGTGAAAAACTATGCTTAATTTAATATAAATATTGTTGATATCATAAGGATTGTCATTGTTTTCTTTAAATATAATACATTTTATTTCACTTACCCCCACGAAAACACGATTTCAGCCATATTTGTTTGCTTTTTATCGCCGAATCTCGCAAATATCATCCAGTTGTTGTACTTTTACATAATCATAAATGGCTGACGAAGATTTCAAAGAAGGTTTCATCCACTTTTGAAACAGTGCAGTGTGTTTTATCTTCGATATTGTGTCCTTCGATATTTCATCAAATTGCCGCCATTTTAATGGCTCGCCGCTTCTCTGCCCGATAAATGCCACTTCTTCGTTTTCATATGTATTTAGATTACATTATCCAAGAGTACTTCTTTGTAGAATAGTCCCAATCCAAGAATTGGAAATATTATTTGTACTTGGGAAGAAAAAACCTCCCATAATAGTTGTCCTGTCAGAATTCAAAAGAAGTAATTTAAAAGTCACGCGCAAGTTCGCAAAAACACCTCGTGGGTTACATAACAGGGGGGGGGGGGGGAATATTTTCATACTTGTTCGCCACAACAGCAACCTAACTAAGTACATTATATTTATTGTATATTTGTGATTTATGAAAAAATAAATAAATATTTGCGTATTTTTATCATCAATTATAAAAATACAAAAGATATAATACATTTAGTTAGGTTGCTGTGGTGGCGAACAAACGTTTCGTGAAAATATTCACACACCCCCCCCCTCTTATGTAACCCACGAGGTGTTTTCGCGAACTTGCGCGTGACTTTTAAATTACTTCTTTTGAATTCTGACAGGACAACTATTATGGGATGTTTTTTCCTCCCAAGTACAAATAATATTTCCAATTTTTGGATTGGGAATATTCTACGAAGAAATACTCTTGGATAATGTAATCTAAATACATATGAAAACGAAGAAGTGGCATTTATCGGGCAGAGAAGCGGCGAGCCATTAAAATGGCGGCAATTTGATGAAATATCGAAGGACACAATATCGAAGATAAAATACACTGCACTGTTTCAAAAGTGGATGAAATCTTCTTTGAAATCTTCGTCAGCCATTTATGATTAAGTAAAAGTACAACAACTGGATGATATTTGCAACATTCGGCGATGAAAAGCAAACAAGACGGCAAAATATGGCTGAAATCGTGTTTTCGTGGGGGGTAAGTGAAATAAAATGTATTATATTTAAAGAAAACAATGACAATCCTTATGATATCAACAATATTTATATTAAATTGAGCATAGTTTTTCACCCCATGATAATTTTTTTTAGGAAATAAGAATATTTAATTTCTGCCAGGCATATTAGTTATTTTATGCATAATTAGCAATTTACCTGGGGTGGTGTATGGTCATTTTCTTGTAAAATATTATACTTAGACAAATTTTTTCTTTCAATGACCACCCTAAAAGCAACCCTTCTAAACACTATAAGCACTTCAGAAAGACTATCGCTTTTTGTTTTCTGAAGTTAGAGCTATGTCGACACTGCCGTTTCAGGGCGGGGTCATTTTCAGGACTTTCGTCTCGAATCCAGGTTTTGGCACATACCGTATTTACTCGATTGAGCGCCGCCCCCGATTGAGCGCCGCCCCCGAATGAGCGCCGCATTTCAGATCAAATTTTTTTAAAGAGCGCCGCCCCCGAATGAGCGCCGCACTAAACAGTGTAAAACTTTTCCGCCATCAAAGTGGGGACATTTAGTGACAAAGACATTCAAAACTTGTTTATTTTATTGTTAAAAGTTCTTGATATAATCCACAAATAAAAGTTTTTTAAAGAGCGCCGCCCTCGAATGAGCGCCGCATCTGAAGCTCTGAAAATTTAAAGAGCGCCGCGGCGCTCAAACGAGTAAATACGGTATGCCATGTTGACCGCCATGGTCATTTTACCCTAAAACAGTTGAGATTACCTGTGCTAAATCAAACGCATGCTCATATACAGGTCCTAGACTACCTCTTCCTTTTCTTTTCTTGTGTTCCAATTCAAAAGAATTTTGTCTGGAACGCCAACATGGCAGCCATGGCTTTTGTTGAGTTGGTCCTTGGGGAATGAGTGCAAACGCTCTATAATAGCGACTGGGAGCAAGAGTCTGACTATTCATGCTGCCGTCTTGATGAATATTTGTATATTCGATAAATATTTGAGCACTAACAAGTTCATGTATATACATATTAGGCTACTGCCATGTATAGGTTATGGGTAAATATCAAGACTTTTTTGTTGCATCTCACTCGAATGAATATTTGATGGGTATTGTAGAAGGAAATTGTCAAGTGGAAATTTATATACATTTATTAGAAATGGCCTTTGATATAACATTTAAAAAACATTGGTCTTATCTGGATGAAAAGCGCATCTAATCATAACACAGCTCTACTGCCAGTTGCACACGTCGTATATCTTTTACGTAAGAACTGAAAATGACTCATTTCAAAACACATCCAAACTTACTGACCTCTCCTACGGAGGAAGTTGGAAGTTAACGCTTCCATCTCTTACGGACGTCCTGGTACACTTTACTATTACCAGAAATGCATGTCCACCTGCGTGCTGGACGACAGAAATTTCCCCTGTGGAGTGAGTGTGGATATTTTCGGGGACGACCCAATCTGTCGGCGATACAAACCTGAATTTTTAGGCACGATTGAAATGTTTTGTTCCTAAGTCCTAGCAGTTCAAGTTCTGAGTTGCCGTGATTATACACATAATAAATCATTACATAGTATGACCCGTGTGATCACATGTATGATATTCATGGATCTATAATGTTACCAAACTGTGTTAGTCTGTATCAAATATACAAGAAAATAGGTAGCCTTGTTAAAGTGCTACTAATCCCAAATATGATTCTTGGTATCTGTGATATTTGGGTCATTTCAAGAAGAAATGTGATATATCGTTATAGTAAAAAGCTCATCTTGCTCAACTTTTCATTGTTAAAGTTTCTAAAATTCTAAGTTGCTAAAATTCCCTAATGACAACATATCCAGAGTGATAAAATAGATCAAGGTGAGGTATTTTACTATAAAGATAAATGATTACATTTCTTCTTGAAATGACCCAAAAATCTCACATACAAGAAATCATATTTGGGGTTAGCAGTACTGTAAGGAAATGAGCAACTTTAGGCTTGGCCGCGCCCTTCCCCCATGATGGCAAAAATATGTATGGCGGCTTGATGACCTTACTAGACCTTACGTCACTGTCAAAAAATGAATATTTGACCCACATGGTATTCCACATTGCATACGAAATCTTGAGATGTACTGAAAATTACGTCACGTAAGTACTTCTAGGGTCAATTTAGATATTACACATTCCGAAACTAAGTCTCAGTAAAAGTAAGACAATATAAGACAACAAACTCAAGTTTAACCAAAGTTTAAATTAAATTAAATTAAGACCACCTTAAATTAAAGTTTAACCAAATATGGATGAATACATTTTACTCCAGGGATATGCAAATCCTAACTGGGATTTTTAAGCTGATTATTAACGTAAATCGATAAATGGTAAACGGATTTACAATATATACCTTAATTCTAATTCTTAACAAGAATATATAAACTAATTTAAATGAAGGAGACTGAAATTTTCTTTGTTACACTGTAGTGTGGTGCATGTATAATGTACATTGATACACATGTATGCCCACTTCGGGAACGGCACGATCGATGGCCATCTGCAGATCATAAATTGCAACTTATTTGTATCAAAGGCATAGTAATCACTATAGTAAACTTACTTTTTGTCCAGTAATCTCAATTTTAAGAAATTGTATAGAAATGCAAAGAAAGTTTAAACACGATTTAGCAGTCTTAATAAAAGATGCCTGGGAAAGAACCTGCTTGGCATGATTACAATTTTATTGATATAGGAAATGTCAACATGGCGATTTTAACTGCGACACATTAAAACATTGCACTATGTAACACACATTATTTTGTAGTGCTGTCATGTAATGGCAGTAAAATTGCAGTTAAGGTGGCTCGCTACACTTTTTCAAAACAAAGACTATCTACTGCTATAACACAATAACTAAGGAGTTAAAAATTTCGGCATGACAGAATTTTTTTTAAATCATGAAAATAATTTAAAATACCAATAGAAATCATTTTATGAAACAAAAAATGGGGGTCGCCGAAGTTTTCTTTCGAGTTAAATTGCTTTAAACATAACATATCCGCCATGTTGTGACGCCATTGTTGCCATAGCAACGGCTGTTAGCAGTAACTTTTGAAAATTTCCGAACCCTTTAGTTATTGTGTTATGCCATACAGATACTCTTCGTTTAAGTAATAATTGTCCAGAAAATCATATCCAAATCCGAAAAGTATTATTGCCTGTCATAATCGTTTCTGATGAACTAATTAGCCTCTTTGCATTTCTATACATTTTTTGTATTGCATGTATACGCTTTTAATAGGACTTTGCAGTTTTAATATATGAATATAGTTTGAACCTTTCAAGAACTTTATTTTATGCATGGATACTACATTTCCCATTTTTCTTTTGACACGAGCACGGTTCAATTTTAACCAGTCCACCAGACCGATCCATATCCTCCAACTGGATTTCTTCACCATTTTTAGTTTCCTGAAAATCAAAGCAAACGTAGTATAGCTGCTTGGACGGTACGCCGAATCAGGCTTGGGCGACAATCTCTAGCAGCTGAATGTGGGAGGTGAAATTTTCTCTGAATTAAACTTTTTTAAGACAAGGAAAGATACGACGTTTCCTTGCTGAAGCAAAATTGTTATTGAGTGTATTGTTTTATATGTTTAGACTTCTGTATGATGGCAAAGACGCCTGATTGCTTAGGTACGATTAGATCAAAAGACGCGCTTATCACAAAAGACGCGCTTATCGTTTAGACTAAAATATCATCTTTTTACAACCGTCGTACCAAGTACCATATTTCACTAGCCGTCTTATATATTAACATTTCCCTCAATCAAAGGTCGTCATCTTATACAAATATACCTTTGCATTGTTTCCATTGTAAGAACGATGAGTTGGTGAAGAGTCGCTGCCCAAACTCCAGCTTTCTTTCTTGCAACATATTAATGATCGGAAGAAGTCTGGAATATTGAACAGGAGTTCATCGCCTGGGCGGTTCTGACGATCAGTCTCTGTTTCTTTGAAAGAGAAGATAAAGAACTGCAATTTATTACAAAATAAAGAAATTATGAAACACAATAACATGATGTTCATATGGCTCTGTGGCGTAACTCCTTTTGACGTTGCCCGGCCAAAACCAACCGACCTCTATCAATTACAGGCTTCTAAGAAAAGATGAAAAAGTGGCGAAGTTGAAGGATTTCAGCAAATTTTGCATCTTTCTGGCGTATCTCCCTCCCCTCGTAGTTTCCACTTTGAATGGGCAAGACCAGGAGCTCCTCTTCAGTTTTAGCCATGAGCCCTTTAGCACAAAGTTACGGGTATAGCACTATATAATACTTTGGAAAGATCGAAATCAATTTAGAACCGCAAAAAGGTGCGTATGTTAACGAGCCTAAGGGACGTATTTGTCGAGAATTATGCATAGTTTGTTAAAGGACACTATAGTTAATCTTATATGACTTTTAAGCGTAGTATTTGCTGGCGCATGCGCGTTAGGGCTCGCCATACAAACACGTTTTAGATTCGTAACATTCATATAAAACGACCGTTTTGGACCATAGTTTTGGGACTTTATGTTAGTTATGTCTTGTATTAAGATGTCAAATATATTCATATAAACAATCCACATTTTGGTGCCGTGACCAGTTGTATTATGGAAGAATTACAAAGACTTCGAGCGTCCCGAAAAGCTTATCGAGCACACCTCACAACACTTTACAAGAAGATTATAGAATTGAAATCCGCCACGACTATCGATGAACTTCACATTGCCACGCTCGAAAACTACTGTCAACAACTCAAAAGAAAGAAAGACATCTTATCACCACTCGATGAACAAATTGCGAAAGCTATCACCAAACCCGAAGACCTTGAATGTGAGATTTTTGAAACGGAAGAAATGCACAGCACAATCGACGAAAGGTACAGTGAACTTACCACATTTAGTGAGATAAAACGAAACGAATTAAAGCTTAAAGTTACTGTACAATCATCCAATAACACTAATGAGTCATCCCCAGAAACCTTGCCCCAATCAGAACAGCCTATTCAACAGGAAAATATCCATCAACCAGAAATGAGTCAAAGCCCAGTTGGACCCAATTCCCAAACAAGGGAAACCCCAGCTTCCAACAACACTATTCAAAATCAAACACTGATAAATAACAATAACAATG